TATGTCACATGAAACTGGGTCTTCGCCATGGGTTGTGCACCAGGCGGAAAAGACCGACCACTTAAGGGCATAGAGGCGTCTCGTAGATGGGGCTCTAGCCTGTGAGATAGTATTCAGGATGCTCTCAGGGAGATCTACTGATTCCCATCGAGAGCCCAGAGGTGCAGAGCCCACAGCTCAGGCTGGGGGTGCCAACTCGTCCTGTTCGCCTGAGAGAGAAGGTCCTGCCTCAGGGGAATGGGCCACGGGGCTGCTGTTAGCAGCTGAGACAGCTCTGAAATCCAAAAGCTGGTTCCTCCAGAGTGGGGCCACCAGAAGGACTCTATGTCTGTGTTCCCTGACTCGTCTGATTACCTGAGGGATCAGAACGATCGGGGGGAAAGCATACAGGAGGAGGTTGGGCCAATTGTGGGCCAACGTGTCCTCGCTCTTCGAAAAATAAGTTGGGCAATGAGAGTTGTCTTTTGAGGCAAAGAGTTCGACCTCTGCCCTGCCAAAGTTCTCCCAGATTCTCTGAACTGTTTGTGGGTGGAGCATCCACTCCTCTGAGGGGACGTTGCTCCGAGATAGCATGTCTGCTCCTCGGTTCAATATGTCGGGGTATTCAACATGTGCTGCTCAATGAACACAGGTTGAGATGTGCCCACTCCAAGAGGCGTTTTACCATCTCGAAAAGGCATTTCGAGGTAAGCCCGCCCTGGCGATTTATTTAGGACACCACTGTCATGCTGTCTGAGCGGACTAGCACGTGGTGTCCCTTCAGGTCCAGTAAGAAGGTCTGAAGGGCTCGACATACTGCCATCATCTCGAGGCAGTTGATGTGAAGACGGCCTTCTGCATCCGACCAGGAGCCAAAGATCGGTCTGCCTTCGCACAGAGCTCCCCAACCCGTGTTGGATGCATCTGTCGAGACAACCTTCCTTTTGTGAATCAAGCCCATAGTCACACCCTGCTTGAACCACTGTAGGTCTTTCCAAGGGGACAGAGCTGTTACAGATGCCTGGCTCACCCTGACACGAATGTGTCCGTGACGCCACGCATGGGGAGGAATTTGAGGTTTCAGCTAGTACTGAAGGGGTCTCATGCGGAGCAGGCCCAGCTGTAGTACCGGCGATGCAGAGGCCATGAGGCCCAGTATCTTTTGAAACGTCTTGAGTTTTATGAGGGCACGGTTCAGGTTTCTGAGATCGAGGATGGGCCGGAGGCAGCCATCCTTTTTGGGAACGAGGAAGTAACGGCTGTAGAAGCCTGGCTCTGAGCTGGTGGAACCGTCTCTACGGCTCCTTTTGTCAGCAAATTCTTCACCTCGGATCGCAAGACATGAGCGTTCTTGCTCTGCACTGAGGTGGAGACCACGCCGCAGAACCGCGGGGGTCTTCAAGTGAACTGGAGTGAGTAACCTCATTTTATAATCCCCAGAACCCAGTCTGACACTCCAGGGATGGCCTGCCAGGCCTCGGCCCGTGTGGCGAGGGGTTGGATTAGTTTGGGTGGTGAGTCGCCATGCAGGGACTTGACACTCGTGATAACTGGAAGAGGAAATTTGCTCTCTTTTTGAAAATGTTTGTTTTTTATTTTTCTTGCTATAACAGCGGCTGTTTGTGAGGGTGCTTTTGGAACGGGCCCAGTATTCACAACAGTTTATAAAACAAACATACTGCCACTGGCACCCAGAACCGAACGGGGTGCTTGAGGGCACAACAAAGGGCGTTTTGGGGGTGGTCCGGCACTGGCGAGACTTTGGAACCTCCTCTTCCTGCCCAGCAGATCAGGACGATGCCTGAGGTGCAGGATCCAACGTCAGCTTGGGCTGGGGTCCTTGGTGCTTTGAAATGGGTAGCTTCTGGCCAAGCGGGAGCGCTGTCGGGGCTCAGACTTTCTGTGTAGGCTGAGCGGGCGGCGGCGCAGGTTTCGCTGGCTTCTGTAGGTCTGGGGCGACTGGTGGCCGTTGCAGAGCTGGAACGCTTAGGCAGGAAGAGCCGCATTGCCTGGGACGACTTTTGTGCCGCTGTAAAACACTCTGCAAATCCCTCGACGGCGGGTCCAAACAGCCCCGTAGGGGAGACCGGAGTCGAGGAAGGGGACGTTGTCAGCCTCAATCTTAGTGAGGTTTAGCCATAAGTGGCGTTTCAACACAACTAAGCTGGCCATTGACCTCCCGATGGCATGTGCTGTAGCCTTCGTAGCTTGCAAAGCCAGGTCTGTTGCACTGCGCAGCTCCTTGAAGGCTGCGGGGTCGGGTCCGGACTAGTCCATGACTTGGAGGAGTTTGGCCTGAAAGACCTGGAGCACGGCCATGGGGTGCAGAGCTGAGGCCACCTGCCCGGCGGCGGAGTATGCTCGTCCAGCGAGGGCAGATGTCATTCTGCAGGGCTTGGAGGGGTGAGCGGAGGTGCGCAGCCACTGACTCATCGAGAGGCAGTTTTTCGTAGCCTCTTTCCTCAGCGCCATCCACTGAGGAGAGCGCAGAAGAAGAGGATGTGCGAAGGCGAGCTGAGTAAGGAGCGTGCCACGACTTCATGAGCTCGTCGTGGACTTCATGGAAAAACGGGGAGGCTTGCTGACGAGGGGCCTGGCGGTGCCCCGGCAGGAACCATTCGTCCAGACGGCTACGAGTGGGCTCCTCCGGCGTAGACCACTCCAGTCCCAGCTCTTCGACCGCTTTAGAGAGGACACGGAAAAGTTTGGCATCCATTCCTAGCTTGGCATCACTGGGATCGGCAGACGGCAAAGTGGTGTGGTCAATAGTAGAGCCCGACATCTCCTCCACGGCTGACGCTATTAGAGACATGCTGTCATCTAACAGCTCGTCCTCCATTACACCGAACAAAACCATGTCGCTCGCATCCGCCGAGGGACGCTAGTCTGAGTGTTCAAAGAGGACGGGAGAATCCTCTCTGCTTGGCGAGGGCGAGGCACCCGGGATCTAGGCTGGCGTAAGCTCGCTCGTAATTGAGCTTAGTTTGAGCGCTTAGTCCCCTTGTCCCGCTGTTTTTCCCTCACAGGTCCCTGGGAGGAAACAAATGGGAGGGCGCGAGGGGTGGAGTCACTCTCTGAAAAGAAAGCGATCCGAGCGCGCAGAGAGGCGAGACTCATGTTCACGCAGTGTGAACACTCCATCTCGGTCCGAGCGGCTTCTGCGTGGGGCTTGCCCAAACAGGAAACGCACTCTGAGTGGCCATCGTCAGCATGCAGTGCAATCCTGCACAAGCCGCAATGACGGCGCGGCATTTGAAACAATGCCGCTGTTATTTTAGTAAGCAAAAATGTGCTTTTTTAGGCTCGCTGGATGGCGGCAGGGGACGAGCTGGTGTCTGCGCCAAACGCTGAAGGTGGCTCGTAGAGCGGGCGGGAACAGCAGAGAGGTGCAGAGAAAAAGGCAGCTTCTATCCGCAGCGAGACGTGTCAACGGCGAGCACTTCAAGTCCCGCAGATCAGCAAAGGGAAGATCGTTGTCGCTGAAGGAAAATTGATCTCAGATCCTATGGCGAAATGCCATTTTATATAGCCAGATGGCCCCGCCCATTCTGGCGGGCTTCGGCACCATTGGCTCGTGCAGTTCTGCTTCTTCTTTTTTTATTTACTGCACGAACCAATGGTTGTAAAGGCTTCAGTCCTCCGAGAAAAAGGAGTTTTTCCCCATAGCGTTTAGCGACGCAGTATGAGTGAAGTATCAAAAGGGAACAGACTTTTAAAACCTCATATTATGTGTTCTATGTCCTCAAGCATACAGGTTTTCCAAGACTGTGCGGTTGAATCCTGTGGGAACAGGTTAATTTTTAGTTATTTTGTCTTAATTTATCTTAATAATTTGGCCCCGGAGGACGAGGAGCTCTGGTTTACAGCAGTAATGGTGGTAAATGTGAGCGGTGTGGGTTAAATCTGTGTAAAGGGTTAAGAGGGTGACGGGACGCGATGGGACTGAGTTTCCTCATCACGCTGGATATCTGACCATCATTAAAGCATCTGACTGTGAGAATGACATAATCAAACACAGCAGATGCTCACTGACCAACATCAACATCACACATAAAACACCTTCTGCTCTACTGTACTTCATACACCAACATGTGGACCTCTAAAATCATGTATATACATGCTATTTGCACTTCTGTTTTAGACGCTGCATTTCATTGTCTCTGATTATCAATTTTACAATTGATTTGAATGCATTAATGCAATGCATTGGACAAAAGCATCTGCCAAATGCATAAATGAAAACGCATGAATGAAAAATGAAAATAATAACACAATCTAATTTAATCAGATCCATAGCCTTCTTAAAATAGTGAATGTACAACAGCATGAATTAATAAGGCCAAACCTAGTACTATTGATGCTTGCCAATGTTTTTCCTCAAACTCGGTTATATAAAGGAATGATTTTTCCCCTTCTTTCTCTCCTCTTTAAATTCTTATGTCTGTTGTTTTTTGTCTGTTTTTTTAAATGGATGTTAAGATGTTATGTTATATGTAAAAGACAATAAAAAGTTGATCACAAAAAACAATCTAATTAAATCATGTCTACTCTAATCAGGGTTATATTAGTCTCATTGAGATAATATCATAGATGTGTTAATACTTTAAGTTAGTTTTTATATGTTCTGTTTTCATTTAGTTGTTTTTGTCATTTTTATTAGTTTTTTAATGTCTATATAGTTTTATTAACTTAATTTCTGGTTGTTATTTATTTATTTTTATGCTCATTACTCTACATTAAAACACACGTATTTCCGAAGCTCTGCCTCTGATATCAACTCGAACAGATTTTATTGTGTTTTTCTGCTGTGGGACAGAGATGTGCACACACAGGACAGTTCGATAGTTTGTATTTACACACCAGCTTGCGAAATCTGACCTGCAAGACGACCAGCACAGACATTTATTCCAGAACTTAACAAAGAACAACTGCGACACTGTTGCGTTTCGTCTGTTCTCAGCTCGTGTCGTGTCATAGCGCGTTATAACGGCAGTGAGAGTGTGTTTTCATCGCAATCTTACCAGTTTTCCCACGCTCATGATTCCTTATAATCCTGCTGCTGAGTGATCGCGCTGCTCGTGCTCCGCTGCTGCGCGCCCCCGCGTCTCTGCGCGTGACCGCGTCCGCTGCGCTGCGCATGCGCGGAGAAAGCGCGGGAGCGCTCAGTCTGAGGCGATGCGGAGAACGCTGCGATTAGCTCGTTAACCGACACTAAAGTCATCCAAGATGGGAAAACGGATATTATTACACACTTTAACCAATTTATACATTTAATGAAGCGATTTTTAAATGGGCAGGACTGAGGCGGTTTAGAGTTACTCGGTGAGTTTCGGGTTAATGACTCCTCAGAGCTGCTCTGACATGCCGCTGATTTTCCCAGAAAAGCTCCTGGTATATCCAGCAGGTAAGAGAGAGGAAATAGCTCCAACATGCAGAGGATTTCTTGGAAAACTGTTCATTCATCTGGTAAGGCAGTAATTATGAGACAGGTGTGTGTTAGACTTTCCTCAGGCGTGTTCCCGCCAGGGTTGCCAGGTTTTCACAACAAAACCCGCCCAATTGCTACTCAAAACTAGCCCAAAAGTAGCCCAATGGCGTTTCGAGGATGTCGCCCGTTAAAAATGCTTTCAGGGGTGTAAAATACACGTTTTTTGGCGGGGTTCCCCTGATTAAATTAGCATGCCAGTGGATAAATATTACGTTATTGGGGTCGCTTCAACCCACAGACATGAAAAACAACCCGCGGCAACAGTGATAAAGTATCGCGATTCCGCGGTAAAACCGCAGACTTGGCAACACCACACACTGATGATTGACAGGTGAGATTGACTGATGGTTTTGCGACCGACCGCCTCTGATTGGACGATTTCACCTCAACATCGACCCGCCCACTTACTGTAATACTTTTAGTATATATGAATACTTGTTAAAAACATTGATTATTATCAGTGTTGTGCTGCCCAGTATTTTTGTGGAAAACTTAAATTTCTTCATGATTATTTGATGAACAGAAAGTTTAAAAGAACAGCATTTATTTTAAATATAAATATTTTACATCTTATACATCAATTTAATGCATCCTTCTGATTTTTTTTGTTTTGTTTTAATCTACGTACTGCAAACTTTTGAATGGTGATATATCACAAAAATATTGTGCAGCACAACTGTGTTCAACATTGATAATAATCAGAAATGTTTCTTGAGCAGCAAATCAGCATATTAGAATGATTTCTGAAGATCATGTGACACTGAAGACTGGAGTAATGATGCTGAAAATACAGCTGCGCATCACAGAAATAAATTACAGTTTAACACATATTCACATAGAAATAGTTTATGTATTTTGAGCAAATAAATGCAGTCTTGGTAACCAGTAAAACCCACAGTTTATGACAGAAATATTAGGAATAGTATACACTAGTATGCAAATTGAGCCCTCATCTACAGTATGCAGAAGCTTTTCCCACCTGAACTTATCCAAGTGTAATGCAGTGTATATACTGAATTTTCAAATGTTTTTTTTTTTTTTGGTTATAAATGAAGAGTTCAGATTCAAAAGCCTTTAAGTGCCATCTAAAATTTTCTTCTAAAATGAGCATTTTTATCAGGCTCCTGTGTGTAGGTTCAGTGATTTCACCAGAGGTGTAAAGAGTACCTAAAAACCATACTTGAGTAAAAGTACAGATACCTTACAGTGAAAAATACTCCACTACACGTTACAAGCCACCAATTCCAAAACAACTTGAGTAAAAGTCTTAGAGTATCTGATTTTAACAGTACTTAAGTATTTTACTTATACTAAATATAGGCTCAAAAATGCACTAGTTAAAGAGACATGCCAGTGAAAAACTGTAACGTTGTGGAGAAGCTGCGGAAAACAGGCAGAGGCAAGGATCTATGTGCTGGTATTTAACGGAAAAACTAGAACAAACAATAAGCCAAAAAACAAAAACCAAAGGGAACAAAGAACAGAATGACTGGCAAACAAACAACCATTACATTCAACAACTCACAAGGAACTAAAGAAAAACTAGGGCTATATATACACACAGG